AAAAGTGATAAATGCATAACCATAACCAAAAAAAAATTCGGTATCATTGACTTGTCCCCACTTCATTCTCGGAATCTAAATTTCATATGTAGCCCATCATCTTATGCAAAAAAAGAAAATTGAATTGAAGGAAAAGATAAGGAAAACAAAGAAAACTTTCCTCCTGTGTATTTTTTTTTATTTTTTAGAGGTGAACTTGAACCCTTGACCTCAAAAAGACAAAATTTTTACAAAATAAAGAATATTATTGGATTAAAGGCCCGTTGGTAAAAGAAAGTTTTCCTGTGTATTCGGTTTAAAAGAAAGTTAACGGATAGTAATCCTCAAACTTCCTTGAGCTGCAAAATGCTGTGCAGAATGTAGAACAAGATATAAATTTTCCTGCAAGAAAATCACTATGGCGCATAACAAATAACCAAGCGGAAGGAAAACAATTTTCCCTTTCCTCCTTTTATTTCCCGTCAATCAATCCCAGAGTTAGTGATCAAGAAAAGTTCTTCAAAAAAGAGATTAAATTTCTACGAGACACCTTACCCAACCATTCAACAAGAGTTGGTGAAGTCACTGGTAAGAGCTCCTTCATCGGTCAAGCTTGAATTAAGCAACTTGTGAGTTATCAAGCATGGCTAGCCAAGATGTAGAGCCAATTTGAATTGCATGTGCTGGTGGTCAAGCCATGTGCTTCATCGAGTGTCAATGCAATATCTCGTAAAATGTTCCTATATCTCATTAAAGGAATTCATTACCAAAATAAAGTATGAGAAGTTGCTACATTGAAAAGTCACAAAGCCCAATGACATACCAATCCTCATCTGATAGTCATATTGCGTAAATGAACACCTTTGTGATAGCTGATACAAATGACTACTAGCAAAAATGCATGGTAACTTTTATTTAAACCAACTAGAACTGTCTAAATAAGTTAAAAGGCTTAAAAGGGCCACAATTGTACTAGAGACAATGAAAAGCATCTTATAAGCTGTTGAAATTTGAAAACTAAAAGATATTCAGATCAAACATTCTGTGAAGCACAGATGAGAAATTCCAAAACACCTCAGACTGATGAAAACCACGGAAAGTACTTGCATCACACCTTCTTCTTCTTCTTGGATTTGAGCATCACATATCCAATAAACATACACAAGAAGCAGAGAAGCACCACACCGGCAAAAACAGGAATGAGGATGGCAAATTCTTGAGGTAGAAAGTATTTATGCACAAAATGATCACTGTCAACAAATGGCTGAAATGGCATTGAAGTAATAGTTAACCAACACATTAGACCAAGTTCGAAAAGGGGTATAATCCAAATTGGGTGGAAGACAACTGACCAGGATGATGACCCAGAAGGTATAATAAGTGAAAATGGACAAGCTTATGAATGATAAAAGAAAACCAACAGCTCTGTCTGCCAATTCCATTGTATTGTTGCTTCTGCTGACAGTAAACCAGATTCATGAATTAGCAATTGCAGCAACAGTTACTGATAATTAATGAGGGAAAAAGTTGCACAAACTTAAATCTAACAAAACACAGCCTATCCCACAATCTCACCCCAAACTCAAAAAAAAAAAACAAAAACAAATACACATTAAAGTAAAGTAAGACACAAAAACACACAAAAAACAATGTAGAAGCAACAGAAAAGGTATCTTATAACCTATTGAGGCATCCTTGCGCTGCTTAAATAGCAGGTCAACAGGAGTACCACCAAGGAAAGAATCAACAAATGAAATTTAATCTAAGCTTTTCTAAATCCAGTCCAAGAAATTAGCACCAGAAATCAAATAGTATGTGTGTACAATGGCTTTGGGTTTTTCCATTTTCCGATGATTCTTGCCTTAGGATTTTAGCAATGCAATGGTGAGTATTAAGTGTATAACACCACTCATGGCTAGGACTTTGCTCATAAGAACTCTTAAGAGTAGGACTTGGTCCAGTGCACTTCAGATGATTAGTCTCCATAATGTTAGTCCCACATTATCTTCAGCAATAAATATTTACAAGCCTTGCTAAAATGAAATGGAGAATGTTCATGGTAAGGCCTTGGTGCCAATTATAGCACATTTGACCATGCAATCAAAGCCTTGACTTTTAACAAGCAAAAGACTTCTACATTCTGACCAAAGGTTGGACATCTGTCAATCAATTCGCTCTACACAGCATAAATAAAAATACCAAACAGGACACCACCTTCAAGTTTTTTGTTTATAGGTTAGACCTTATAATAGATGTTTGGATCTCTTGATAAAGTTCAAACACCACATAATTGGAAAATAGAAAAATAAAAGCATCGAAAAAAGAAAAATAGAAAAATGAATGCATCCACAGTTCATTGAAATATCTAATTAAAGTACAGATTACACAATGCTATCTTCTATGGAAATCAATTGAATCACGGAAATTTTTACTATTGCAAGCATTTTACAGGTAATTGCACCAAACATGCCTTTTTGCTTCAATACTCAAACAAAAATACCATCTAAGGTTTCAGATCTCCACTGAATATATCAGCTAATGTTTACTTCGCGAGTTGGTTCTTTGTCGAAGCAACTTTGACTCACAATTTATCACAACATCACAGTTCTTCTTCTTCAAACCTATCCCCCCAAAAAAAGTTTGATTTGCCATTGGCTTCCCATTCTAGTACCTCTTAACCCCATCAATTTTCTTCTTTCCTTTTTCTCATTTTGCTTGGCTTAATTCCCCTTTGGCAGTCAAATAGCACTGTTTTTTGCAAAATTCCGAATATAAAACTTACCCATAACAGAGGCCCTAAAAACTTGTATTTTCGATAAGGATGATGATAAGGTAAATGACTAATAAACTAATACATTCCGGTAAGGTAAATTATTTTGGATTTTGGAAGAACTGCAAATGCCTTAAGAAATAATGCTCAACAGCATCGTACATCAACTCTTCAAGTGCTGAAGTTTGACAGTAAAACCATATAGTTTCAAATGCATCAACAACACAATGGTTCAAACGGGTCCTATCTTTACCAATTTTCCCGATTAATTTAAAGTGAAATTTGAAAAACCCTAAAGTACAAACATGCCATACAAATTGGGTTATTAAGATTTAGCATGAAAATCTGTTTTGAACGACAAGTTTCACCGTTTTATGAAATATCATTTATAAGCATATATGCATGAAAATACACTGAATTTAGATTTTCTTCTCCACAAAGACAAAGTAATAGTCGCCCAATTAAGGGAGAGAAAAAAAATAATCGAAGATATAAGTAGCCATTTGAGATTTACCTGAACCTCGTTTATATCAGGCTGAGGGTTTGTTTCAGAGCATCATCGTCATCATTTTCCGCTTTCTCTTTCCTCTTCTGAATAATTCCCTCCCCTCTCTCTTTCTCCTCTTCTAATTTTCGCATGGGTTGGTTTGGTCTAAGATCCCAGCTATTGTTGGTTAGGATGGGTAGGGGTTGCCCAAATATATATATATATTTAGGCCGGATCGACCCAATGTCCAAAACCACCCCCCTCTCTTTTGATTAGGAGTCTAAACCCTTTTCTAATTTTAGGCATATAATTTTTAACTTTAATCTTAACCCTAATTTTAACCCAACCTCAACTTGAGGTACTTAACCCTAATACTGCCGTAGTTTAATTCAGGTGCGGTTCAGATTGACTTCGAATTATTTAATTCAAACTAATTTCGAGTTAAAAATCGAGTTGAACTCGAGTTACTTAATTCGGATTGATAAAAGAGCGAGAAATGATGAGTGAGAGTAGGCTGAGAGTCTAAGACGAGACTCAAACGAGGGAGAGAGGGAGGCCAAGAGTCTGAGATCAAATGAGAGACGAGTGATGAGTGAGAAAGGGATATGAGAGTGATAGAGACGCAAGAGTAAAGACTTGAAGTGAAGTGAAAGTCTAAATTTTGAAGAGTGAAGATAAATATTAACCTTAATTAAATATATTTATATATTTATGTATATTCGAGTTTAACCCGATTTAATATTCGAGTTGAACCCGATAACCTGAGGCCTCAACCCAAGACTTGCCTGAATTCAATTCGGGTTAGAGTTTTTTTGCCTCGCCCAACCTAAATATTAAAAATTCTAACCCAAACTCTATTTTTTTGGGGTTGAACTCGGGTTGGCCGGCCCAAGTTGCACCCCTACTTTAGATTAGAGTAAACTACATTTTGTACCTTAAAAGTTTAAAAAAAAAAATTTATACCTTTAAAAATTAAATTTATCATATTATATCATCAATGTATTAAAAGTATTATAGTATGACCCTTATGTTAATAGGGTGGTTTTTGAAAGAATATGTAATGAAAACTAAGGGAAGTATCACATTGAGATACTTTTAATATACTGAGAATACAACGTTAAAAATATAATCTTTGAAAAAAATATAACATTTTTTTAGGGGTACAGTGTGAGATTCCCCCTTTAAATTATGCTAGTTTACTGATTACGAAATCATCAGTTAATTGTCTCTGGATCAAAGATTATTTCACTTAAACATTTGAAATTTGTAACGAAAGTGAGGGAAAAAGGGCACCCAGAAATACAAGCAAACCAGAAACACAATAGGTACATGTTCCTCCAACCCCTTGATGGATTTTGTTGGCAAGGCACAAACACATGGAGGTTGCATCACATGGTAGACTCTCTGTTACTCAGAATTAAACTTAATCTTCCATAATGGGGCTTCTCCACTGTTAGATTGTAATTAGTTCAGAACAAGAAATCCAACTGTAACCTTAAAAAGCTCCTAATCATCGTAATACATCACAGAAACCACAAAGTCATCCATGATCGAAAACAAGACAAGTTTCTGACAGAAAACGATCGCAAGAATGTACAAAAATACAGAAAATAAAGTCGTGCAAAAAAGTTTTTATCTTCACCTGGACAAGACCAAAGAGGAATGAGTTTCAAGTAGTAAATTTCCCATCATCCACTGCATTTTGGTTCCTTCACTCCACGACATTAAGAAAAAGCAATGAAGAAAAGTAGGTTCAGTACTCCACTAGTGTGGCAGTATCCACTGCATTATATCCTTCCGAATCACTCCCTCAAAACCAAATCTTCCATGGTTTACTTTGAAACCTTCAGGGCTACCAATGCACAATTGTCTGTACTGCATGTTAGTTCCAGCAGGCTTTGCAGGCTGGATCATCATTGCAATGGTGGGAAAGGGTTTCGACCATATGTTCTTTGAGGAGGTAAACAGATGCTTATCAGACTCTCGGTCCCTGTCTCTTGCACTGAAACTTCGGGATCCCCCAGGAGTTTTCTGGTGAGATGAGTTGGTTAGCTGCTTTGTCGTGCTTGTGTTTGCATTCCCATCGGATGGGGGCTTGCCTCCTCGGATTTGTGCTGATGGTTTCACTCTGTCAAGCCAGTGAAGGATCCAGTTGCCAAGGTTACGACCAACTTCAAGGTCTCTTTCTTGTATAGTTTGATGAACCTTGAGTGCAACATCAAATACAGCTCGTGTCCGGCTGTGACACGAGCAATATTTAAATTTTAAACAAACATTATGCCTCAATCAGCAAAGATATTTAAAAAGACATATGTAACAACAGCAGTCACACAACAGGATGAAGAAATATAATGCATTTGGTTGCAGTGACAAGCAATTAACAAAGTATATGTAGAATAATATTGGAGTTGTCAGGACCATAATTAAAATTAAAAGAAAGCACAAAAAGAACCACGATAATAACGATAAATTAGCACTCCATCTACCACAGGTTTTCAAGATTAATTTTGATCCAACAAAAAGATTCCTCCTTCTACAACAAAAAGATTGGAAATTGGTTGGTTTTAAGGAAACTATCTAAAAGAGGAACTATGTTATGTTTCCCAAGGGCTTCTGTCTTATGTCTATTTTCTTTTTCAAGGAAATTGTTCCCAGCTTATTTCTAATGAACTAAGCATAAGCCATGCTGTCAAGATTAGGACTGGCAGCTGATGCTAGTCTTTGCATCGAGGAAATTAAAACAGATTTGGTAAAACTAAGAAACCAACAATAGTCAGGCTTGCAGATATGCAAGAGCATTAACACTTACTAGATGTTTTCCCTTGAAAAAACAATTGTTGAATGTCAATAAATTTGTTTCCTTATTAACTATATTGCAACAATCCTTCTCCAACCTCTGTGAGAGCTATCTCCGGACCCTGGGAAGAGTCCCGGACCATGGAAGCAATCAAAGGAAGCGTGATAATACACATGCTTCATACTATGCATGCTTCATTCATCTAATATCATGAAGATATACTTGACAAAACAACACAAAAACAAACAAAACCTTTCCTGATCTTCTAGACTGACCATTTGCAATATGGATCATGAGGTCCAAACAGTGGAAACTTTTGTTTTAGTAAATGAAGTTTATGGAGCTAGAAAGAAACTTAAGTAAATTGTACAAACACCCTATGTATGTCATATACAACGGAGTAAGGAACCTATGTATTCAAGGGGAACCTTCAATTATCTTTGGAAAATATGTACCCTATATCACTATCATTGTAGCTTTTGCAAAGAATTAATCAAGTATCTATTACGCATTTTGTTACTGAAGAATAGCTGTTTCAAGTTTCCAACTCTAAACCAAAATTCAAAGCCTCTCATGCTATCTAAGTTACTAGTGTAATGCTTAATAGAAGTAGAAGGTTCCTCATCGTTCTAAATTCAGATCAAAAGTTCCAAGAGCAAACAAAAATAACTGAACCAAGTCCTTACTCTTACCTCCAATATGCCATGTTCTTAAAGTTCTTTCACATATTTGTCCCTGTTTTCTCACTGTTGCTAGCAATTAGCCAGAAACATGAGTCAGCCACAAGCCAGATTCTATAAATGCTTAACACTGCTGTTCATTGGGTCCAAACCAACTAGACCTCCATAAAAATGGCGAACCACGTGGTAAAATGTCACAGAAGTTTCACATCAAATATCTGAATGTTCTTGATATCCAATCACTGGGATGTCTTAGAGCAGCAGTTTGCTACCACTATTGTTTCTGGGAGGGGCACACAAAAGACGGAAATAACCTTTTGGAATATTTCAACACCAAGGTTGCTCTCAAACTGTAACCCCCATTCTCACGCTTGATAGCCTATGCATTTCATTGCACTAAACGCCTTTCAATCTTGCTATAGAAGAGGCTGCATGCAAACGAATCTTGCAGTAATTCAAGGATGTCTGCCATGAGTTGCAGTTCAAATAAGACAGTAAGTTGAATCTTTTACTGGCTGAGACCAGTTGGCATTGTTCAGCATTTGCAGCTTCAAAATCTAAGTCTCCAAATTCAAAGGACAACCTTATCAATTAGCTTGCCATTGTCGTTCACAAAGATTAAAATTTTGTTTCGATGCATTATTTTGGACACCGAGAAAATAGAAACTATTCAAAAACATAATAAAAATAGATAAAAAATTTGAGAATTTATTTCCACAACTTCTATAAATATTGGTTGAAATATACCGAAACATCTCGAAACACCTCAAAATGTTAATAGAAACAAGCCGAAACATCTCAAATCACCTAAAAATATTTTGAAACATCACGAAAGCATTGAAATTTTGATTTAATAATTGATTCATGTTGATTTCCTTGGAAACAAAAACGTTTCAGATATTTCGATACGAAATTTTGATCATTGGTCGTCCTTACAAACACCAGGAGAGAGCCATATATTAATATATGGATTCTAGGGCTATACGGCAACTAGTTTCGTTGTTCTGAAAACCATGTCACTCTAGAATTGTTTTAATAACACAGTCCAAAGATGCCCCAGATATTTCTAGTGCATAAAATATTTTCTCATAGATGAGATGAACTTTAAAAGTCGTCCACTAAAATTAACTACATTTAACACCTGAAATAGCCAGGGAGAGGACATGAACACATTCTATAGATTGTTTCTCCAACTTTCGTGGCCATCATCAGCTCTATACTGTACCACTTTTTCACCTCAGCAATTCTTTCCCTTTTCGGCAAATAGGCCACGCAATCTTGTCGGATTTTAGCATATTCGTGTCAAACAATACTTCATCAATACCCAATTCGAATCATGATCGAGTTCATGTCATATATCAATTTTTATAACCATCTTTTAATTAACTTTATCTATACCCAATTCGTCTATTAATCATATTATGTCGTACTCGCTTATTTACAAAATGAGTGACATAGGGATGATCTAAATTATTTAATTTCATGTCGTGTTAACGAGCCGCGTTAAATTTAACACCCCTCCCAAATGTTCGATTACTCATGCATTCATTCATTCGCTAATACAATTTACATTATAATAAACATAAAAAAGCATGCATAAACTGAAATGGCAAGGACCATTCTAATCAAAACCCATACAGCATAGTGCCCACTGGAAATTTCCTATCGTCGCTGAGAAACAATCTAAATCATTTCGAATCGACGAAACTCAAACAACTAATATCCCAATTCCCAAATCAAGACCAATTGATCGGAAACACGAAACAGTAATCGATAGGTGGTAGAGACAAGGACAGCCATGAATAGAGTATTATACCTCCAAGCAAATTGATGAGTTTTAGGGCACTTAGAACTTATAAGTTTCCGTTGAATCTTCAGAGCAAGTCTGTAAGTTCGTTTCAAACCCAAAAAATACGCAGTTCCTAATGTGATCTCCCATAGCACCATTTTTTTCTAAATCTCTCTCTACCAGTATATATGTATATATATATATATATATATACCCTTTGATTCTGTTTTAATTTCCATTCCTTGTAAGTCACCGATCTTCCTCAAAACCTCCATAAATTTCGATCCTTCGCGTGACGAGTTCTCTTAGTTCACTTTGTTCGTTTTAGGACCTACCGTCACCGGCTTGTGAGATTATCACAGACGTCATCAGGACCGTTGGTTACAGATACTATCAACAACGAATGAACCTTCGCGATGGCTCTGTGACGGTGCGAATTGGGCTGGGTTATGGATAGGCCCATTATAACCCAAACTCTACTGTGAGTAGGAGCGATAATTGAGACAAGTTTGACGGGCATCACCATGCTCAGACTCGGCTTGGGCTCAAACATTAAACTTATTTTTTAGTTCGAGCTCGACTTAACTAAAAAATGAAAAGTTTAAACTTAGTTTGATTAGGCTCGTTTTTTGCTAACAAGCTCGAATCTGAGCTCTAACTCGTATATAACTTGATCCAAAAATTTGAATTTAAACTTGCGAACAAGCTTGAATTTTAATAAATTCAACACTACTTAACACAATATAAACTAATCAAAAACAATCAAATTAACACAACAAAAACAAGTAGAAACTGTCAAATTAACACAACATAACATAAAAAATTAATCAACTTCTCCACAGACATCACCTAACACACAACATGCACTAATACACATCACCGACCAGAAAAATTGTCTATAAACAACCAAATTAAACAACCAACCACATGATGAAATTGATCACAAAAATTCAAAAGAGAAGTTGTCAAGTGCTAAATGCCAACAAAAAAATTAAAAAAGAAGTTGTCAAGTGCTAAATGCCAACAAAAAAATTAAAAAAGAAGTTGTCAAGTGCCAACAAAAAAACAACATGTTTCACAACAAAACAACCAAGTGCCCTCATAGTAGAGCCTGCAATAAAACAACCATAACCAAGACTTAGTATTTTGTCAGCATACAAATTAAAGTCAAGACAAGAATTATTTTGTTATTGATACCCTTAAAAAAATGATTCAAAAGTTGTTTTTTTCAAGGCTACATCCATTCATAAACTCATTCTCTTCAACAACCTGTAAATAAAACACCAACAATGAAATTCAATGTGATTGAAATAAAATGAGACACAAGGTAAAAAA